TGCATCACAATTATGGGTCACTAATTCTCTGTTTTCTCATTTTTCTTTTGTTTTCTCGTTTTTCTTTTCTTAGGAATACGTGCAGTGGCCCCTAAGGGCCTATACTCACCACATGCACAAAAGACAAAACATATGGCGGCGTATTGTTCCACGTTCTAGCGGAAGATTCATTCTAATTCTGCACATTTGGTGAGTACTGCAGCCAAGCCCTGAGAATCACGTGCAGAGACCAACAGGGCCTCGCGAAGTGAGCAACCCATTACTGTTGAAACACAGACCTGAATACGAATCCTGAGTATATATTCAGCAAGCTCGTGCTCCACTTCGTATTCACTGCCTGCCTTGATTTTGGTGGAGGGTCCTTGCTAAATTGCTGCGAGGACCCTTCAAGGGTGTGGGTCCAGTATGTAGAAGTCCTGCTCAGTCAATCCCCTGGACCCCAGGGTAATCAATGCTCTCAGGACCCCAAAACTGTGTCCTAAAAGATACTCCAAAAAGACAGTTGGGATTGGGTCTGATAGGGGAAGAGAGGAACTAGGGTGGAGCTGCAAGTATCTGGCGCCCAGCTCTGGGCGAAGAGGTTCCTTTTTACTTCCAGGCCCTGCTCAGTCAATCCCCTGGTTCTCAGGGCAATCAATGCTGGCAGGAATCTCCCTCGATTGTTTCTCTAAGGTGCTCTGAACTCAGTCTGTAAATGGGACGCTGGACCCGCTTTCCAGCAGGTGATGCTCCCCACCAATAGATGGAGCCTCTCCCCAGGTGCTAGCGGTGTCTGCTCTTATCATCACCACTAACACTGGCAAGGACTAAAAAAAAAAAAAAAAAAAAAAAAAAAAAGATTACCGGACAAGGATGAGTCTCAGAAGGCTTGCATTTCAGGTTTCAAGCACCACAAAGGTCATGCGCCGCATGAGGACGAAGAGAGAGAGTGTAGGGTCTAAGGGATTCTAAATGGTCTAGGCATACTATTACAGGGGGGGTGCTGAAGTGAGGTGGGCTAATAGACAAAGGGGTGCTCTATGAGGAGAAGGGTGTCCCTAGTAGCCCCATGGGACGACGGAGACCCGGGTCTGAGTAGAGAAACGTCCACAGCCTCATGAAAATAACAAACACCATCGTGGTTTGATAAGATGTATCAATGGGACGCTGGACCCGGTTTCCAGCAGGTGCCGCTCCCCACCAATACATGGAGCAGCCCGACAGAGAAATCCTCAATCCTGACTGTTCTCTTACCACCGCCAGGATAGAGGGTTTATACAAGGGGCTAATTCTTCAAAAAAAAAAAAAAAAAAAACAGTACACTTCAGCATTTTTGATAGGTAATGGGATGATGGACTCAGGTCTCTCCCAGCAGACTGTGACGCCCAGCCTCACGCCCAGCGCGACTTCCTGATCGGAGTGGGATGTGGGCCTGGAAGTGCGAAAAGGGGTGTGCCAAGGATTTTTGGGGAAGTGGGGGAGTCTTAAGGGTATGAATGCAATTAGGCGAATGAGGGGTGTGCGCGCAAGGGTCTCACAGTCCGAAGGGGCCGGGACACTGTGGGCGACGGGTTACGGGAAAATCCCTCCGTGGTGGAGATGGTCCCGAAAAGTTGGGCCGTNAAAAGATTACCGGCATGGGCCCTCTGATACGTGTGAACGGGATCCTTTGTTCTCTCTCTCTCTCTCTCTCTCTCTCTCTCTCTCTCTCTCTCTCTCTCTCTGTATACACACACAAAAAAAAATAATAATAATAATAAAAATTCAGCGCATCACCAATTTGCGAACGGCGCATGGCGCACGCGCACTCGCACTCGCACCGCAGAAGTGTGCCGCAAGTTTGGTCTATTGTTCTTGATGTCTTCTTGGTCCCCCTTCTTGTAAAGTAGTGTAACCACACTGGTACTGAAGAGTTTGGCCATGCCCTCTTTCTCCCAGCTGTTGTTATAGAAGTTCATGAGGTCCAGTCCCATTAGGGGCCAAAATTTCTCCCAAAATTCCTTTGTCAGTCCGTCCATGCCAGGGGTCTTATTATTGTTCATGTTCTCGATCGCGAACTGTAGCTCTTCCATAGATAGCGGTTTCTAAGTTTTTTTCTATGTTTGAAAGAGAGTGGGTGTGGCTTTGGGAGAGAGAGTTATCTTTAAAATAGAGAGAGGTTGACTTGGTGATGCGGCAGGACTTCTGTTTTCGGTGAATTGATGTCCATGGCTAGAATTGGAATATCCTTCCTGTACTATAGCAGCAGGTCTCAGCCTGAGGTAGAGAGGGTTTGAGGCCTATCGGCTCCTCGTTACGTTGTTGTTTTTGCGCATACTGGTTACCTTGATTATTGTATATACACGATATACTATATAGGCTTGGGCACCGAGCTGTTTATAATAAGAAAATCCGTTGGGCCAAAAAAAATGATATTTCTTGGTTGCTCTGTTCTTTTTTTGTTTTTCTCAACAGGACCTTGCGGTGCAGGCTGCTGTGTCTTCTGGGGTCGGGACCCACTAGAAACGTTTTACAACGACTTGCTGGCGTTTTCAATCACGTGCGGCGTTTCGTGACACATACAGTCCGTGGATGGAGATTGATATCCACGGCCCGCCTGTTTGTGAAACTGTGAAGTTTCAGGCCGGGTGGTCAACCAATCCACGTTCTAGAAAGGCTTACTTCTTTTGATTTTGTAATTCGAATTCCACTATTCATCCGTTGTGTGAGGATTGAGCCCTCAAAGGGGCCTTGCCGTGATGTACATGTTCTGGGCCAAGGCCCCCAGCAAGCATCGTGCCCGCCGTAAGTGAAGGCTGGCCAGCAAATCAACGAGAGCCCTCTGTTCAAACATTTCACGAAGTAGGGTCCATACAGTTGCCGCACGCCAGTTGGTTGGAGTGCACCGAGTTCCGGATCTCTGCAAATGCAGAAGGACCAGGGCCTCTCAAAGTTGGTTAGGCCATGGGCACATATACGTGAGGCCGACATTGCATGCCGGAAATAGAGGCCGAAGATGCCAATGGGAAACCGGTCCACTATCTGAATCTGGACGCAGGCCTGGATGAAAGAGGCACAACTGTACTTCGTGGGCCCCAACCACATTGGACCTGGGTACAGGTACTGGGCCCCAGGCGCAGGCTCAACGGAGGCCGCCCACACGCAACACTGGCATATAGGCAGAGAGGGCGAGTGGGCAGGGATCTTGGCCATTGCGAGCAAGGCCGGCACGCTGCTGCATTGCGAGTGTGCCTGCGTTGCGCTAGGCTGAGTGAGGGCAGGCTGGCGCTAAGCGGTGGAGCGCAGCCTGGGCGTAGGGCGCTGGCGGCCATAGCCGGGCTGCCTATGGGCGCAGAGGAGGTGAAGGGCGAAGGTGGTTCTTCGGAGGTGAAGGGCGCTGTGTGGGATAACAAGGGAGAGTGAGGGAGAAGAGAGAGACGTACCTGGAGGAGAGGAGGTCGGCATTGGTGTTGACATCATCACTTGCTGGTCGTCAAGTTGTCTGGTTGCTTCCATGCTGTAGTTGTAGTGATAGGCTGTAGAGTAGGTAGGGCGCCTGGCGCCATTCAAGAGAGAGAGCTACATTGGGTTATGCTGTTGGTGTTGCCCGATTGGGCTTGGACATTGACTCACGATTCTTTTGTATCGTTCTCAAATGGATGGTTACTCGGTTCCATTGTGCTATCTGCTCTTGCTTTGACTACTTGGACTTCAGTGTGATTTTGCAATCTGGATTTTTGTGCTTCGTCCACATTCATGTTCCTTGCATTTTGGTATCGGAGCTGGTTCGATTCGCTGCTTACCTCGTGTGCCGCGTTATACAGACTTGGTGCGTTGACGATGCTTCTTCGCAGTTGGTACTTGTGACGTGGGCACAAAAATAGGCGCGTGGCCTGGGTAGAGAGGCGCGCGCCGGAAGGCTATACGGCATGGGTTGCCGTGGTTACAGCGGAATGTATGATTGGTGATGAGAGCATGCTGATGTGGCATTTAGCTGAGGTGGCACTGCATTGCGTTGTGAGTGGTACCGAGTCTACGACCGGTCATCAAATGCACACTCAGTTCAATTGGTGAGAAATCTGTGGTTGGGGGCAGCTATCTCCAGGTACGTTGTTCCCTTACCTTATCTACCCTCTCAATCTCTTCTTACCGTGAGGAAGTGAGTTCAACTTGAGAGTCCTCTCTTATTGGTGAGGTGTCGAATGCGAGCTACCGTGAGAGACGACAATCTTTCCGGAAGCATCTGGAAGGAGAAAGGGCGGTGCCTCTGAAGGGCCCTGGTCGAAGCACTTGGGTCACGGTCACCATGCCAACCCAATGGGAGTAGGTCACGCATGCGATGGCTGCTTGTCCATTTTGGCACTTTGTTGCGCCATAGAAGTCGTGCCGGGTGTGCCAGCCCATAAGAGACGCTTACCAGACCGTCTATAAATATTTCTGGCTGGGGTCTCGGTTTTGATACTGGCTGTGATAATCGTCCTGTCTGCGACGTTAAATAATTTCTGAGGAGGTGGGGGCTCTCCTTAAATCCCTCCTGATCAGCCAGATCAAACCGGGTTGTAAGGCTCGTTCCGTACGAGGGTAAATAAGAGTGGATGGGCTGGCTTGTTCGGCAGTGACTTGGGGCACAGGGGTGGGCCGACATTACACACGAAGACACTGCTGCTCAAAGATGCTTTTCGGTATGTTGAATGGAAGGGAGGGGAGGTTCTAATCAGTGCTCAGCTGTAAACACAACCATTTCCATCATGCATATATCTGCAACATGATTTAATTTTATTTTTTTGATTAGTTGGTGGACAGATTGCTAACACCTCACAGACAGCTTAGAGTAGGACCGTTGTATACTACCATAGCTGGTTCTATATCAAGCTGCTGTAAGTGAACTAATCAATGGTAGGATTAGATTATGTGTACAGTCAGTGATAATGTTGTCGACGACCGCTTGAAGTGGTAGCATTTGGTTTCCTGCCGGACACAGACTATTTTTAGAAAATTAAGTGTCGGTCGAACATATGTTGTGGTAGGATTCTCTAGAAGGTTCTAGTGCAGACAGTGTATGCATAGCTCATGAGTGAATCAGACAACGATGAGGGTGGAGTTGACGATGGTAGAGTAACACGATCGAGATCACGTAGGATCCCGTACGTGTTTCAGTACCTGGACATCGAGACAGAGAGACGGCTTAGGGCCGAAGCTATAGCCCGTGCTCGAGCAGCGAGCGTGAGGACAACGACAGCTGTTGCACAAGAGTTAGCAGCAGCTAACGCAGCAGCAAGGCAAGCGGCGGCAGCAGCAATGGCTACCGCGGCAGCAACGAATGGTGCCACTTTGTCTGCCACTCAGTTGGGAATGCCCACTGGGTCCGCGGGTAGTTCCAGTGTCGCAGGTTCTAGTAACTCCACCAGTCAAATGGCGGGCTCGCAGTTAAGCCTAATGACCCCACGCCAGCGGGAGTCGAGGGAACTCCAACAAGTTGAAAGGATTCGCACTAGGCTAGAGAGGGAACTGAAGGAAGTTGCTGATAGAGAAAAGGAGATTAGAGATAGGACAGTCAGATTGGAAACGGTAGAGGCCGACAAAACTGCACTAGAAGCAATGGATGAGTCAACTATGAACGACCACGTAAAAGTGTTGAGGTCTAGCTTGCTGTCGTTGCATGCGCATGTAGACAGTAGGATGGACTTCATGCAAGACACTTTGGATAAGATATTGGCTCAGTTGCAGCAGCTAGGACCAAGGCTGCCCGCAGTTGCAAGATCGTCGCTCCCTATGTCGGCGCTAATAGGCACCTACCCCCATGCTGGCACACAACCAAGCGGTTCGTTAGCAGCAGCGTCCCAGACTGTTGCTTCTACTTCTTCCGGTCCTGCGGTGGCAGCTACTCCATCACCGCAGCAGCAACCTGTTCCACCACAGGGACAGCAACAAGGCCAATGGTACCCAAAAACCCCAATGAAACCACCAGTCGCCTTCTCTGGTGAGAAGAAGGACGAGGAGCTCAACACATGGTTGAGAACGGTTCCAATGTGGGTAAGGGAAAAAAGGACTTTGCAAGAGGAGGAGGTGATCACTGTTGCATCTTACCTTGAGGGTAAGGCAACCAAATGGCTAGACGGGACTATAGCGAAAGCTGGGTTTGGGAGACGCATGGCAGAGACCATGACGTTAGATGAGTTCATAGACATGGTAGAAGCTCGCTGGCATAATCCACAACGGGCACAGATTGCCACTGACGCCATAATAAGACTAGACCAGCGACGATACAAGTTCGTTAGGGAGCTTACGACTACCGTGGAGAATCTCATCGTAGTCCCAGGCATTCGCTATGATGACCAGGTCTTATTGACCATGTTCGTGAGGTGTCTCCCAGAGAATCTCAGAACACAGTTGGCCAGCGAGGCACGCCTCGAGTATCACACCTTTGAGTCCTTCTCTAGAAAGGCCCTAGACTTAGAGGCTACTCTAGKAAGTGCTCAACCTACTACTCCAGTAKACGGAAGGAAGAMGAAGAGTCCACAGGAGTGGAAGAAGAAGGGGAGTCGACTTATGATGGTTGAGACCGACGGGACTCAAACCGAGGTTGAGGACCTTTCTGACCTGATGGACACCACAGAGTATGACGGCGAGGAATCTGCTGAGGGTAGCACCCTTGCCGCGGTAGTAAAAGGTAAGGCAGGTGGCCGAGGGAAGGGTCACCAAAAGAGTCAAGGGAAGACCGCCTCCAATCAGTCCAAAGTTGCTGATTGGGTCAAGGCTGGTTTAGATCAAGATGTGTGGCGGGACGGAAGAGTGCGTGGTGCTTGCATCAACTCTGGTGATTATGGTCACACCCAGTACAAGTGCAAGAACGCCAAGGTCACGCAGAAGATACCCCCTAAGGTAGGGGTACCTTCTTCCCAAGCTTCTAGCTCGGGAAACATGTGAGGCCGGTGGAAGTTTTAGCTGCTTCTACTCATGGTGAAGTAGGTCAGATACCCTCCCCACTTCATGAGAAGGCCATAGCTAATGACTCTTTAGTCACCCTGCAGACTCATCCAGACCAAACTATGCTCTGTACGTTGGATGTGTCTGATGCCTTAGAAGATTTAGAAAGTGAGTGGTTGAGCAAGGACCCTCGCGAATCTTGGGTGGCATTAAGGAAAGGTCCTAGAGGGGAACATTTTGTTGTGGAAGTTGTTGTAGGAGACCGCAAATGTGGTGCCTTCATAGACATCGGCTCCACACAGAATTACATAAGTCCCGACTGTTTGGAAAGGTTGCACCTACAGGATCGGGTACAGCACCTTAGTAGACCGGTGGCATCTACTCTGGCCAATAAGGAGCGCATGGTTGTCACGGACTATATCAAGGATGTAGTCTGTACCTTCTCCTATGGAGGAGGGGAACTTAATCATAAGATTTCGTTCCTGATTAGCGACGACTTACCATTCGATATGTTGTTAGGCACGTACTACCTTGAGGTTGTCAAGCCCCAGTTTGACTGGGACAAGAAGGTGCTAAAGCATAAGTTGCCTGATGGAAGAACAGTGAGACTGACTAAGTTCAAAACCAGTAGTATAATCGATACCTATGGCTGCTTGTGTGCATCATCGTTCTATAACTATTATAAACAAACCAAGAGGAGGGTATGTACCTACTGTATGTCTCTGAAAAAGGGAAGGCCGTTAAAACACCCCCAGAGATAGAACACGTCGTTGCTAAGTTCCCTGATCTGTTCACAGAGCCCACAGGAGTCGTCGATAGGGAGGTTGTCCACGCCATAGAAATCATTCCAGGGAGTAAAACCCCAAAGGGAAGGATCTATAGGATGGCTCCGGCGGAGTTGGATGAACTTCGGCGACAACTGAAAGAGCTGACAGAAAAGGGATGGATCCGGCCGAGCACTTCCCCCTACGGATCTCGAGTGCTATTTGTACCGAAGAAGTGGGGTACATTGAGGATGTGCATTGATTACAGAGGCCTCAATGCCATCACAGTGAAGAACGCAGAGCCTCTACCCTGCATAGACGACCTATTGGATAGGGTGCAGGGATGTAAGTACTATAGCAAGATAGACTTAAAATCCGGCTACCATCAGATCGCAATAAGACCTGAGGATCAGCACAAGACGGCTTTTCAGACCAGATATGGTCTGTATGAGTTTGTAGTGATGCCCTTTGGCCTTTGCAATGCGCCGGGTACATTCCAGCATGCCATGAATAGGATCTTCCATGACCACTTAGATAAGTTTGTCGTTGTCTATCTTGACGATATTCTTATCTTTAGTAAGTCTGTCGAGGAGCATGCACAACACGTTGAGACTGTACTTTCACTCCTGCGACAACACAAGTATAAGGTCAACCTAGAGA